TACTCAACTGCCTTGTAGCTGGGAGGTATTGTCATCCTCAATCGAAACAAGGAGGTTGTCACCGTGGTCTAGTGCTGGCACGCAGCTGTAGCAGCTTGCCTCATTGATTTACGCGCTACGTTTAACTACGTCAAATCATGAGTCCCACTGAAAATCGCTGGCACCTAACGACACACCTGCTAACCCCCCAAGAATAATGTCGGTCTACTATTCACCTACTACCGAGAAATGCCGTCGGAAGCAGTGGTTCGATCACAGTTTGCGGCGTCCTGAGACAGAAGCGATTAACATTTTGTTTGGAATGGCGCTGTCACTTCGGCAGCTAATCCTGAAGGTGGAACGCTCAGACCTACGGTCGGTCTGCGGTTCTCACCACTTGTGGCAAAACCGGATGGTTGTCTGAGTCGACCATACATTCCATCATTGAACCTGGAAAGCGATGATCATCTGCAATATTCACAGTGTTGAGTTATTCTCTAACCGGGTATTGTCGCAAACATGTGAGTTAAAACAATAGCTGGATGAACACAACACAATAATTTTTTTTTGGGGGGGGGACACATGGTGTTTTCTGTGGATAGATGATTACAGTGAAGTTATTGAAAAAAGTGATGATTACAAAAGCAAGGCATGCTCATATGCAATAACGGAAGTAACAAATCATGAACNCTGGGACAATATAATAATAATGACAATAACAATAATCATAATCACGGAACGGTCGAATATCTGAAACTCTACACCGGTACAAGTAAGCACAATGAATACACTCACCTTGAACAACCATCCGTCATCAGTGGTTATCAGACAAACAGTAAAATTGACCGAAACCACTGTAATTGCCAACCCGGTGACATTTTTGGACAGATAAAGAAACGAGGGAGCCTCCAAGCGATCTTCGTCCTTTTCACCTGTGATGAAATGATTCATAGGCGCTTTGGCTGGACAATAATACGGTTGATCGGCCTAGAAAAAAACGGGGCGGGGGCGGGGGGGAGTGGGAGGGAATACAAGAAGTGGGCAACTGTGTACTTATATTTAGAGAGAATTTTTTACAAGCCTTTACACCAGCCTTTCAGTTAGGAAGTGCCTTTACTTTTTCTGTTGGACACTGGTCTGATGAACAACAAACGGACTAAACCCCACGGCCAGGAGGACCTGTTATTCAATCTTGGAAACCGGTAACTTAAGCGACCCGCGTAAGGCCTTACTAGGTTAGGCGTGGTACTGAGCCAGGTGACGGCAAAGCTGTCTACTATTGATCCCATAGAGGATATTCACAAAGAGAAATGAAATCTGGGAGTAGGGAAAGTGAGGAGAAAAATCGGGTTCATAGTCTGAAATCAACACAGTTAATTTTTCCTCCGTACCAACACACACGACAGATGGGGAGCTCCCACTCCAAATCCATTTGTCGAAGGAACAAGTGTTCATGTGGGAGGACTACCGGAGGTTGCGCCAAAAAAACAAAACAGATTAAGTAAAGTTGATCTGGACTCAGTTGTGAATTTGGAAGCATATTCAGAATACTTCGAAAGGTTTGGCAGTGAACCACGGACTTCGGAAAAGACAGATTTGCAAGATCCTTCTATCAAAAATAATGATATCATATAAATATATATATATATATCATAAAAAAAGCACGAGCGTCATTATAAAGGTAATAAAGAGGATAGAGTGGCACCGTTAAATACGCCTGCTTCGTGTGACACGAGACAAGAGGTCTTGCCGAGTATAGTTTGCACGTTGCCTCCATCCGTTATAAAGAAAACATCTGCTAACCATACTAGCAAATTAGCCGAGCTAGTTAGTGGAGGATCTCAGTTAATAGAACAGGTCTGGTGGAGGAACAGGATCAGAAACGGATGGAGGGAGAGGCATTGAACACACTATACACACAAAATAACCCACTGAGGAGAGGGGATCCACGGCACATCTATTGGCATTATAACGTAATTGGAAGGAAGCATTAGAGACGCTGACACCGGACCGTAGTCAGTTGAGAGGAGTACGTTCTATGAATTTGAGGTAGAGTGATTTGAGAGCCACGGAAGTTTTATACAAATAGTTCAACTTACCAGATACGCTTCCGGGACACATCCCATGTACTGTGGGCTGTTAAGACGCAAGAAATGCGGTGGTCCACGAGTGCCACGACCATCCAGACAATTGCGGATCACGTTGGTAAACTGCGCGTCAATCTAGTAAATAATTCCAAATTGGATGTAAAATAAAAATCAGTTTGACGTGGGCACAAGTTAGTACGAGAGGACAAGACGGTTTGAACATGGGGCGATCAATCAGGGGCAGTGAATGAAATTATTGCTCAACCGCGGTTACTGAGGTAGCATACCTTCTGCTATTTTGCATCGCGGCATCACGAGCGTCTACTCTGATTACGCAGTACAAACACATGACCGGGTGACCTCACATATGAGGAAGTAATGAATCCGAATACACACGTACACACACAAAGGTGAACAGTGACAGGCGACAAGTGGATTCGGTGTCAAGATCAATCTGTATGTGAGAACAAGCCAAGTCACGTGAGAAGCTTAGTGATTACCGAACTTTGGGTCTGTGAAATGGTGGATATGCAAGCGCGATCGATGTCAACGTGCAATTTTTTCAGTTAAGGACCGTGGCTGGCCATCCACCAGCACATACACACACCCACAGCAAGGTAAATCATGAATATGTGTGATCTTCTCAAAACAAGAGAGGCCTTCGTGCACTACTTCTCTTTCCCACGAAAAACGCTCTTGTGTTCCGGTCATCCACGTCCATTATCACATTCCAGTGGATTCCAATGGCAATTTGCAAAGTGCAATTCTGTCGCTTCCTCCAGATCGCAAGAACATCCTCGGCGTTGTTCTACCCTAATATGACGTGAACGACTGTGATGAGGTTGACGGTAGATAAAGCAACAATGAATCCTTTAAAATTTCAGACATTACTCGACCGTGTGAGAGCCATCGATCCTGTTATCGTCTCGTAATCACCTGGGCAACACAGCGTTCCAGGTGTATTGTAATCGGAAAAATTGAACGGGAGTGAATACACGGACGCCACTGACAATGTGACTGTGATTGAGTCGGTAAAGTCACAAAACTGTGGCCTGACACGAGNCGAGCCCACCGTTCTCTTTATCATGGTGACACTAACAGGAGCCCCGAAGCGGTCATAAAAGCCGCTCGGTGAAGTTCGTGGTCTAAATGGGGATCACTGCACACAGGAAGAAGCTGACAGACACGATCCGACCAATGTGTATGTAAACGGCAGAGTGCAAGGTAAAAAGAGAATCTCTGTTCACCGAAGCATATCATATGATTCTAAACTGCAGCTATAACTAACGTTGCTTCCAGGTTACCGGAGTCCATTCAAGAGTATCATTTGGAGATCCCAATGCAGCCTAATCCATCCAAGTAACACTACCTATTGGGACCTGGATGCATTAAGGTCTCGACTTCCTTGCCGATTGAATTTTGTTCAGTTCGACCAGAATCACTCCGTCTGATGTACGTTTTGTGCACATTTCGGGGCAATAAAGGAACACGACTGTGACCTGAGAACGCGAACTCTCGATTCTGACATAGGGAATATGGAGCCACACTGTGAGCGATAATCAGTCACTTACATGAGCCATTGAGAATAAGGAAAGCGCGGAACCGGAGAGCAGGATTGCTCCAATCTGATCCTGATCCACGTCCGGTAAAAATGAGCTTCGAATGTAATGCATCGGTTGTCCCCCATGTTCCTGAGCGAATTCGTACCAATAGACTGACGGATCGACTGGCTGAGCAGCAAATGCGACCAAGAGCACTTCGTGAAAGTCTTCCCAACCGGGAGTGTTTGCAGCCACACGTGGTGCTTCCAAACTAGCATGCAGTATGTCAGTTAATCGTTGCAGAATGTGTTCGATCGACTGTTTCAATTGGTTTGCCAGAATACGACCTACTTGGCCTCGACTACTTGTGTGCAGCGCATTCAATGTCTGAAGAAGCAAGGGAATGCCAGCGAAGAGAAAAAAATGGAATAAATGTACAAACATCGGAGAAACAGTGGCAGCCTTTTGGAGGCATATATTGCACCATCATTCTGATGGAATGTCTTACATTTTCTATCTAACTTAGACTTCGATGTTGGAACATCAATCGAACCTTTAATCAGACTGATCAATGAGTGAATTATAAATGAAACGTTTCATATGCGTTAGATGTACCCATGAAAGAACAACAGAATGAGCGAAGTGAAACTGAAATCTTAGAATCAAATCGCAACTTATACGCAGTTATTTATGAATGGCTTTAGGTTTTTGATTGTTTTTATTTACTGAATACACAATAATGCAATAAAGTACCAAGGAAGAAGCTGTGATGAGTCAACACGTGCGGGGAGAAAAAAATAAAATGAAGAAGATATTGAATGAGTTGCTTTTAACACAGTAAAAAGTTTGATAAACGATTATCAGTTCAGCCCAGCTCGGCTGTGCTTGGTTAGTGTTCTTGTATCCATCAAGATGAAGTTTTGATTCAAGTTGTAGTTTTTCTCTCGCGTTTCAACAAAAACACCACACAGTCACATTTGGCCAACTCTCGAATTCTATGCTATTCCTATCCGGCAACGATCCAGCCGGATGTGTGGTATAGAGACAAGCGTCGATCGCGTAATAAGACAGCAGATAAAGTTCATTTCAAAATCACAAACATGACGATCGATAGGAAACCAACTACTGTCTTAACCCAGTCTTTAAATGGTCTGAAAGGCCAAAGCAAGCGTGCGATATCAGCTTAGTGTCACCAGTCCGAGAAAAACAGCGGTAAGCGAATTTGAATTTGTACGTCTGGGAGCATAAGCAGCATATGTGATCATGTGACCAGACAATGAAATAAAGGGACCAGTAGGATGCATGTCAAAGTGAAACGAGGTGGTCGAACTCTCCGCTTGAACCTGACACATTAGTGCGATGCCACAAGGCGAACATTTATACAAGGATTTGTAATAAAGCCATCAGTATGTGAGAGATATATAGCTGTCAGTAAACCTCAGCTACTGATAACGTTGAAGGTACGGATGTAAAAATAACCTGAAGCAGTGCGTGCACCCTGAGGAGCCAGTCGTTTTACCGGTCAAAGTCGTTCGCTCAGCCGCGGTGCACGTCCTAGTGAAGGAAATTGAGCAAGTAGAGCAAAAGATTGTTAACACACGAAAACAGTTTGCTGACACTTATCTACCCCTCAATTGGTTATTGTGAGATGATTGGTACCCACTGTGATTGAAATAAGACGAAGCAACGATCTCTCGGTAGCATTTCATTGTATCGGAATGGAATTATTTATCACTTATTTCCCCTACTAATATTTCCGGCATAAAAGTAGTATTTTTCATGTCTTTTTAAATCTGAGACATGAATTCCATGTGTGATTCTAATGCGAATGTTCGCAGCATGAATATCCCTGCATGCTAAGGAGTTTTTCCACTTGGCCAACTCCTCTTGGTCGTCGCGATACTTTCTGAGTCTAATGTATCTTCATCTTCTAGCTGACTTTCATACTGGCATCTTTTGCCACGATCGCGTTCTCTCCACACTAAACTGAAATGCAAGCCTCCTTAGGGAAACCGCATTCTTATTTGGATTAATAATCGTTGCTCAATCACCACGAGGCTAGACATGTCGTTCTCATTGATCGTCTGAGTAGAAGTTATGGGTTCCGGGGAGTTCAAAATCGCGTGATGTGAAAGTTGCAATGCGTGAACCTATCATCACCACAATCATTGTACAGCGAAATACAGGGAACAGAGAACTTCCCTGGTCCTTGTCAAGCTCACAATTTACAAATCGCACTAAGTGAACATGTGCAATGTAGACAGGGATTGGGTCTATTTTGAGGAAAGGAAAAGTGAACTTCTGTGATCAACACACGGAGTACGTAATCTAACTCTCGGTTCAGTTCAGTTAATTTGTTACAGCGATTAACCATGCAGCTTCGCGCGGCGGATTTAGACTGCCCACTTGGATTCACTACTTTTCAAGTATTCTGACCCGATAAGAAGAACTGACAACAAGAGCGACAATTCTGCCGGTTGGTTGTCACATCCTTCAATATCTCCAGCGCACCAGTTACAGAATAAGTGAACCTAACAGTCTTACTAACCGAGACGACAAACGTCAATTGTGCATTCGCAATAGTCAACCCCAGAGATATCAATCACAATCTCAAACAAATGAACGCGTACAACAGCGCACGCACCACAAGTCTGGAACTAATCACTGACAATGTTAAGCAATTCTGCTTACTCAAGCCTCTACCATCAACGTAAACGGAGCTGTAATCGACCAATCAGAGATGTCTGTACCATGATTGCCTTATTCTACGTGTAACCGCTTGGTGCGATAAAGTGAAAAGAAATTTCTTCACGAACAGATTTCTACATTGTCTATGGGAATGTTTTACGAATTCTATGATGGCCTCCCATGAAACACCTGGATGGGTACAATGGAGATTTAACTATGTGCGCCGGCGCTTTCTGCCTGTGTCCAGGTTTACTGCCCAGCGAGTGCGCTTACTCTTCGTGAGTTCCAATGGTAAAATCAGTTGGGATCGGTACTGAGGGTTCTTTCAGAACCCTTTTTCAGTGACATATATAAAATGCCGACACTGTACACTGAGTAACTTTCCAATCACTCAGTTGCCTACTACTTGAACACGTTAGTGGCCTAAACTAACACGGAACTATTGATTCTCGATCGTGGTGTACTTTGTTATGGTAAAGTGTATCAAGGGGATGACCAGTTACTTGATCGTATAACGGAAGTGAACCCGTGCCTGGGGAAAGATGAGCTAAAGCGAAAGAAATTTAGTGATCGGATCCCGCGCCCTTTCAATAATTATGCAGCTTGGATAATAAATACGATTGATCAAGAAGGATAAGAACTGTTTTCGTCACTCAGCGAAATCCTTAATAATATGGTTAATCTGCACACTTTCTAGCTCACTGCCCACATAGTTCGAGTTTTCTCCGGCACCATTTCGACCTCCAGCCAAAACTGGGCCCAAAGCTGTAGTTAGTTATTCACTCATATACAATCTCACACACAGTGAACCCCGGTTGTTTTGGTCACGGAAAATGCTACTCTGGAATGCCCCATTGATGACGTTATTTGACGATGGAATCCGACTGAATAATACGCAGCGGGGTGGGCTGATTAACCAGATCCGAATCTCACAACTCACCTGGCGAAACAATCACAGCAATCACACAGTAGATACAATGGTAACGGAAAATCGACAGACGCACAAATACACACATGAACATACAATAATTTTGCCGTAACCCTCATTGATTTGGTGGTCGGAAATAGTTCACATTCGGGTTCGATAGGATGGCAACAATGGTGAAGATCAACCGGCATGTCTAACGGATTTCAATGAAAGACACAGGGGGCCGATAGAAATGTTTCCATTGAAAAGTTCACAGAAATGCATCATCAGTTCAATCCAATTAAAAATAATTAGTGGGGATGTGAAAATGAAATTGAAAATGCTGATGATTTATGCAATTTCTCATCTTCGACGGCTTGAGATCCCGATTACCAAAACCTGAATATCTTCCGACCGAATCTCATATGAATGAAGCGGTGTTGCTTACAGTATTTCCATCTTTTAGATGCAACCAGCTCACTAATTCTTCACGTTTCACTTTGAATCAGTCGATTTATGAACGGGATAGTCGTATCATTACATAGTTTGAGTAAAGCAAGTGTCTCTGTCTGGTAAGGCTAGAGGGGGCACTTCAACTTTCATAATCTTGCGACCGAAATATTCCCATACGTGTTCAAACTGAGTTCGGATTTAAACAATTTTGAACTGATGGATAGGTTTGGTTTGATTAGCTTCAGAGTTCATATATTAGAATGAATAGTCATTGATCGCTGATGTGGTTGGCCTCGTATGGTCTTTTTGAATACCACAGTATTCTTCATCAGTACAATTTCGTTGCAGGATGACGAGGTTATTGTTTTCAGTTAGTCCGTACTTCCACTTTCACGTGTCCCGATCATCCATCACCTTGGATGTTGGGATAAGTGAACGATATTATTGATTATTATTTTCTTCTTCGGCTGTAAAGAAACCTCGAAATAAACCATGATTTGTATTGTCGAATGTTAGCATGCCCTTTTGGACAGCACGACAAAGTTCAATTGCTCAACCGAACCTGGCTTGCACATTGGAAGTTCGGTCAGAAAGGAGATCCAGGCCAGGACAAACAGGATCTCAATCCGACGAAAATGTTCGTTTCGATGATGACAAATCGCAGAAATACACATAAAATCAGCAGCGTTTTCTCTTTCAGTTACGCATCCCTCTCCCCCAAATATCTTTATTATTCGGGTTGATATTGAAACATCATTAGTGAACTTGGGAAATGTGAAAGACATTGGCCCAAGGTGTCTTGAGTAGACAGACATACAGATTGTAACCAATGAGGAGTGAGATATAATAATTTTTATTCTCATTCACGTCGATAGGAATCACCACAGAGAAAAAAATGAGTTTCCAATGTCAACAATCTGTGTGGTGAATCGTTTTCCACGATCGCATAAACGCGAATGTTTCAGTGCAATGGTCGAGTGACAAGTGTTGATACAAAAGTATCGAATAACCTTTGATATATTCTCTTCAAAAGTGAAACTTCGAAAACAGAAGAATCCAATCGCTACTTCAATCAAACTACCGGTGATCGAAGAAGCGCTTGGATGTGCTAACTGACATTTTATGTAAACTCAAATTACTTCACCCTCCCCTCCCCCCTCCCGGACCAAATCCAACAGACTTCTCCCCAGCCAGTCGATGAAAACGCACCTAACCGAGGAACAATAAACACGCTGTTAGGAATACGAAATATAGATATCATGTGATGTGCAGTTGAGAGGTCATCAGCTTGGCAACATGAAATGTGCGCGTGTGTAACTGCGCTACACCAGGAACATTA